AAAATAACCAGCGACCTTCTGCTGATTTCTGTGCTCCTGGTATCTCAGATTTGAATTTAACGGTTTTCTGCCATTTGAGCGGTGGAAAGTGGAGGCAGAAAATGAGAAAAAGAAGAGCGAAAAGAGAGAGCAACGAAATACAAAGAGAAACAAGAAAAAACGATACTTAAAAAAAACCAGCGACCTTCTGCTGATTTCTGTGCTCCTGGTATCTCAGATTTGAATTTAACGGTTTTCTGCCATTTGAGCGGTGGAAGTTGGAGGCAGAAAATGAGAGAAATTAGATCGAAAAAAGAGAGCAACGAAATACAAAGAGAAACAAGAAAAAACGATAATTAAAAAAAACCAGCGACCTTCTGCTGATTTCTGTGCGCCTGGTATCTCAGATTTGAATTTAACGGTTTTCTGCCATTTGAGCGGTGGAAAGTGGAGGCGGAAAATGAGAAAAAGAAGAGCGAAAAGAGAGAGCAACGAAATAAAAAGAGAAACAAGAAAAAACGATAATTAAAAAAAACCAGCGACCTTCTGCTGATTTCTGTGCGCCTGGTATCTCAGATTTGAATTTAACGGTTTTCTGCCATTTGAGCGGTTGGAAGTGGAGGCAGAAAATGAGAAAAAGAAGAGCGAAAAGAGAGAGCAACGAAATACAAAGAGAAACAAGAAAAAACGATAATTCAAAAAAAACCAGCGACCTTCTGCTAATTTCTGTGCGCCTGGTATCTCAGATTTGAATTTAACGGTTTTCTGCCATTTGAGCGGTGGAAAGTGGAGGCGGAAAATGAGAAAAAGAAGAGCGAAAAGAGAGAGCAACGAAATAAAAAGAGAAACAAGAAAAAACGATAATTAAAAGAAACCAGCGACCTTCTGCTGATTTCTGTGCGCCTGGTATCTCAGATTTGAATTTAACGGTTTTCTGCCATTTGAGCGGTGGAAAGTGGAGGCGGAAAATGAGAAAAAGAAGAGCGAAAAGAGAGAGCAACGAAATACAAAGAGAAACAAGAAAAAACGATACTTAAAAATAACCAGCGACCTTCTGCTGATTTCTGTGCTCCTGGTATCTCAGATTTGAATTTAACGGTTTTCTGCCATTTATGCGGTTGAAAGTGGAGGCAGAAAATGAGAAAAAGAAGAGCGAAAAGAGAGAGCAACGAAATACAAAGAGAAACAAGAAAAAACGATAATTAAAAAAAACCAGCAACCTTCTGCTGATTTCTGTGCGCCTGGTATCTCAGATTTGAATTTAACGGTTTTCTGCCATTTGAGCGGTGGAAGTTGGAGGCAGAAAATGAGAGAAATTAGATCGAAAAAAGAGAGCAACGAAATACAAAGAGAGACAAGAAAAAACGATAATTAAAAAAAAGCCAGCGACCTTCTGCTGATTTCTGTGCGCCTGGTATCTCAGATTTGAATTTAACGGTTTTCTGCCACTTGAGCGCTGGAAAGTAGAGGTGGAGAAACATCGATGTTCCTGGACATCGATGTTTTTCGATGTTTTCAAAAAAAACATCGATGAAACATCGATGTTTTAAATAAATAGAAACAATTTTTTTTTTGCTCTAAATTCAATTTAAAAAAAAATTAAATTGATTTAATTGAAAAGATTTGGTTCATTTCATAACAAAATTAAAAGCTTTATTCGTAAAAGCAAAAAAAATTCAAAACTTATTCTATAAGTTAAACAAAAAATGGTTTGGTTCTTATTGATAAACATAAACATACTCGACACTTCGCACCACAAACGCATCCAACTTCGTTGGTTCAGAAACTTTGTCTGTTGTTGCTTTCTTTGGATGAATCCTCTGTACATGGTCCCACAAGTTGGTAGTGTTTCCACCTGTCTTAAGCATTTTTCCGCAGTAAATGCATACTGCTTTATTATTATCGGCCGTTTTCTTGAAATGCTGCCACACGTCCGAGGTCTCGCGCTTCCTCTTCGTAGCAGGAGCCAGAGACTCGTAATTTTCCTTAGTTGTTCCTAACATTTGCAAAAGGTATAAGTGGCTCAAAGTTGTCATGTGTATTACTTCTATGAATACTTACGGTTTAGGAAGTTTTCCATTGCCACACATCCACCGACGTTGCCTACACCACCAATTGAATATCTGAAAACATCTAAATACAGTAAATAGTTCAATTTATAAATATATTTTACACATACCTTCTGCGTTTCCTTTACTTTAGTGTCGCGGAAAAAACATCGATGGTTGCCACAAAGCATCGATGTTTCCAAAAAATTTAAAAAAAAAATTTCATCTATGTTTCTCCACCTCTACTGGAAAGTGGAGGCAGAAAATGAGAAAAAGAAGAGCGAAAAGAGAGAGTAACGAAATACAAAGAGAAACAAGAAAAAACGATAAGCGGTGGAAGGTGGAGACGCCGCTGCTTTCAGCGGTAGTTTCTTGAACTATGGTTGTGGTTCACCTGTGATCGACGGTCACTTCTGGAACTACATTAGATTAGTTCGAGAAATTTCCGCTCACAACATGCGCGCGCCACAGTTAATTTTTGAGAAGGTTGACTTGTGGCGCGCTACTGGACAGTTCTGGTACTACATTTGACAGTTTCATGTTGACGAGCTTTTGTCAGACATTATTTAATGTTAAAGTTATGTCAATGTTAATTCTACGTTAACGTTGGCGCGATGTTCAAAGTGTGCTGATTTAGCCTGTTTAACTAAATCGCTATAACTCTGCCGTTTCTTGTCCGATCTGGACGTGCTACGCATCCTTCTGATCGGAAAAATGTCCTCGATCGTTTTCAGCCAGGGGGGATCAATAAAATTAAAGATATTGCCTTTGTACCGTTATTTTTAATTCAATCGCTTTAACACCGAGATTTATCTTCCGATATAGACATTTCTGACTTTCCCGGAGTACTACCAACATCCATAGGATCGTGAGAATCCTGTCTGTCGATCGGCAGTTCCCATTCCTCAATGGAAATGAAACAACTGACTCCAAATAAATATTTTATGTTTATTGAAACTCAATTTGATACACACATTGATGTGGGGGTGTCATTTGGTTTTACTACAGTTACCAGTTACCAGATACCATATTAAACATAATAATATTCATATATGTATGTATGTAGTTCACATCGGTATATATTGATTTACATAGTGTAATGCAGGTAATTGCTAGGTAATAATTTTTAACAAATCGTTAAGGTTATATGTATATAAGTATAAGTATATGTATAGTAGTATTCTTACAAGCCTTGCCTACAGCCACTCGGCACTTTTAAAGCGCAATCCTCAATCTACCGATGATTATCGGCTCCCAACGCTACACGCTGATATGGTGTTATTTTTACAGTGATCAAAGTACTCGTCGTTGTTTAAGTAACTAACTCTTTGGATAAGTTCAATAAGTGGGTAATAGTTATAATAGGTTTAGTAGAAAAGACCAATAGACTTAAGTAGTAGATTTAGCAGCAATTTCTTCTTCGTTTTTGCCGAAAAAAATATGTAGTTTCAACATTTAGAATATTTGTATGTTTTTGAGATAGCACAACCATTTTTAGTTTTCGTCACCCAACTACGTTTGCCCTTACCCTTATTCCGTGTAAAACAACTCGGGTTAGTCGACAGCCAGAGATTGTGAAGAGTAATTATAGCCGAACTAATCGAAAAAACAGGAATGCAACGACTTTTTGTTTCACTTTTACCCTGACTACCTTGACAACTCAACTACCAAGTACGCGCATTAGTATTAGTTCTACTTACAAGTTCTACAACAATGACTATGCCCAGACAAAACGGATTATCTGGCCACTACATACATAGGTATTCTGCGCTGGTTTTTAAAGCAACTATCTAACAATAAGAAGAGTCCTTGATATACGGATATATGTGTGTACGAGTACAGATCAAGGAGTCGTTAAGTTTGAATTTAAAGACATTTTTTTAGTTAACTAGCGTTTAAAAGAGCCGCCTGCCCGGAAGGATAACCGTAGCCGTAGCCGAAGCCGTAGCAGGCAGGTAAACAGTTTGGATAGGGGATAGTAAAAGTTTCACAATGCCCTGCCTCTGCAGATGGCTTAAGTATAGTACATAATAGCTATAGTATGTAAATAAGTGTGTATATATTTGTAATTTGTTTAGTTTGAAACTCCAAGTCATTAGGTTGAACGTTGATTAGATTTAATACACAAGTTCCGAAATTGTAAATTTCACACGTTTGTCGTTACAAGAGATTGTCCTGTTCGTAGCTGAAGCTTCGGGTTGAACGGGTGCGAGAGTTAGTTGGGAGCGAGATACGAAGGAATAGGATAGATGGAAGGAAGGAACAGAAGGATGCCTTTTCCAATGCTGTGTTGCAATCAATGTCCTACCATAAAATGACTACAGTAAATTCGTCTTAATCACGCTTCAGTCGCACTCAAATCTCACATCCACATCCACACAGAAGCACACAACACACCAGACACCAGACACCAGACACCCATCCATAAAGATTGTCACATTAAATTTAAAGATATCATTTGTGTTCCTTCTGCTAGATTTGGTAGGGGTAGGTAGGTAGGTAGGTAGGTAGGTACGCATGTTGGTAGTTTTATTTCATGTGTGAAACAGTGGAAACCTTTCAGCTGTACACTTAACTGTAAAGATTGTTGGAGACTATTGTAATTGTATTTGTATTTGCGCAACATTTAATTAACACTTAGATATACCCATTATCCTTGACGTGCTGCCATACTTTGACCCTTTTTTCTCTCGCTCTGTCTTCGTTGCCACAAAATTTCAACATTATTGTTTCAGTCGCCCGTTTCATTTCTCGATTCGATTCAAATGCAAACAACATTAAACTTTCACAAACACAACGCACAACGCACAAAAATATATATGTTTATACGCGTAAATATTCCTATATATTGTAGCTATCTCTGGTACTCTCGGTTACTCTCGGTTCCTCTTATCTCAACTCAATTATTGTGCTGTCTGATATAGTAATGTACGATTACTCGCACCGTGCTGCCCTAACCCTTACCCTTAGCCCTACCCCTACCGTACGTACCTTACTTACAAAGCTCTCTCACCGTGAATACTTAGTAAGTAGTATAACCCATAACCCAGACCTCCTGCCTACTGCCTACTGCCCACTGCCCACTGCCAACCGATATGCTAAGCTCATTGACTATAACTACGAGTATTACATACAGAGGGACGCATACTATAATGCAGCTTGCTAGGTTTGCTTCAATTGGGAGATGCTATATCTGCTGATAAGGGGAGTGTAATATTTTATATGGCTGATCCATACTTAGGCGCTAACAAATTGAGCTTTCAGTTGAAGTATTACGAGTTTATGTTCTCTTGGTGTCATGCATTTCATTTGAATTATTGTTTTCGATGTCTCACGCGCTGGCGTGTTCGGTCAAGGAGAGTTGTCCGAGTCGGAGCCCCCGTAGCTGTGCATGGGGAACAGCGGATACCAGCCGTTGATGTGCTGTCCGATGTTCACCTTGTCCAGATTCACCTCCGTGCCGCCCAGGCCCTGGTTGTGCTCGAATCCCACGCATCGCTGCCACACCATGATGACGATGTTCCGCCCAAAGACGTCCGAGCTCTGTGCACCGGTAAAGGATAGGAAGATTTATTTACATACAAATTTGGTCGTGTATTTATTATGGTTAAAAATAAATATGGCACGTGCCCCACGGTCACATGCATGCAGCTTCTCCGTGGATGCATGTGGATACATCCCCAATAAATTAACGACTGGCAGCTGCCTGCTGGCATCGAAAATTGGCCTCATCCATGGCACCCATCCGCTCCGGGGCCAGCCGCCATTAATCGCATTACAATGCTGGCAGAAGGTAATAACATCCCGACGCGTTGGCGAGTCATGGCCATCAGATTCATCATCATCGTCATCCACATTCACATCGCTGGCACCTGTAACAATGCCCCATCTGCTCACCTGATACTTAATGGTCTGCCTGTAGAATGGCTCCGCGGAGTGGCGCACCACGCGCGTCTTCTTCTTGTGCCGCAATCGCTCCCCATCCTTGATGTAACATTTGACATATGTGTCTGGAGGCGTCTCGCAGTCCTCGTTGACAATATTACGAGCACAAATTAGCTGCAACAAGGGATATTAAAAAGGAGAAGCACAGATGGACACCGATGTCCACTCACCTCCACCTCGACGTTCCCTTTGATTTTCACAAAACCCATCTTCAGCTCCCCATAACGAGCCGTGGTCAGCCGGTAACCCTTGGGATGGATCTGCGAAGGACCCAGCTTCAGGCCGTAGCTCGACTCGCTGCCGGTGATGGCCGAGACATTAACATAGCTGCCGCTGAGGGTCTTGACCACGCTCTGCTTCCGCTGCGGACTGTCGCCGCTATCCGTGCTGGTCCGCTGATAGATGCTGCCCTTCCGCGTCGGAGTGCCCATGGTGGGCGAGTCGCTGCCCTTGCCCACATACATGCTGCCCTTGCGCTGCAGCGACTGTGCCTGGGGCTGCGCCTGGGCCTCTCCCAGCTGAAACATGCTGCTCTTTCGCTGCTGCTGCTGCAGCTGGCCGGCAGAGAGCATATCCTGGCCCGGGCCCTGGCCCTGGCCCGGACCACGCAGATTAATCATGCTGCCCTTGCGTAGATTGGCCTGCTGCTGCTGATGCTGCGGCGAGCCGTCGCCCTGACTGGAGGAGCCCAGCAGCTGGTTGTGCCTCTCCTGGGCCACATTCGAGACGGAGGCGGCCTGCTTGAGTCTCGACAGCGCCTGCTTGGGGCTCTGGGGCGGCAGCTGGCTGCCCGATCCCTTCCAGCGGGGTCGGAAGCGCTTGTCTTCCTCATCGGACGGCGGACTGGTGTCGTTGTTGCCAATGCCAATTGGCAGATGTTGCTGCTGCTGTTGCTGCTGTTGCTGCTGCTGCTGCAGCTGCTGTAGCTGCAGCTGCTGGAGTTGTTGCTGCTGCTGCGTGAGATCCAGAATGGAGCTCTTGCGGCTGTTGGGTCCACTCGGCAGACCGACGCGACTGGTACCTGGTGGTGGGGGAGACAGGGGCAAACTTAGACCATTCCTGCAGTGGTTCCTCGATGGCAGTGGCTCAACTCTTTTCAAAAACTCAACTCAAAGAACCAAACTATTACTTGGCGAAGAATGAAAAAAGTGTTACATGGTCTATGACTATGACTATGACTAAGATCTAAAACGAAAACTAAAACTAAACCTAAAGCTAAGAATAAGAACAGGAATAAGAAAAGAGGGTAAAGAGAAAGCTACACAAAACGTCAAAGCATGCGGAACTAAAAGTAAATTGAAATTGTGTGTAGATGTCGGACTGAACATTGTTTTGGGTTCGTCTGTCAATGGCGTCTAAAAGGGACACGGAGACGAAGGATGTCCGAGGAGGACAGAGCGTGGAATTGGACGAAGCCCTCAAGGAGATTGGTAAGTCATTCCACACACTCTTTTGTGGCGCCCGTCTAACAGCATTCCCCGACAGGCTTTGGCTGTGGCCAGGTGCTGGTGCTGATCTTCTCCAGTTTCGCCAATTTGCTCGCCGTAAACGAGACCTTTGGCATGTCGATCATCGTTGTGGCGTCCTCGTGCGATCTGTCCACAACTGCTGGCCAGAAGTCGCTGATGATGACCTCCATGATGGTGGGCATGACTATCTCTGGCTTCTACGTGGGCTACCTCATCGACACCAAGGGCAGGGTGCGAATCTTGCGCTGGATGCTGCTAGTCACCATAGTGTTGTCGGTGGTGTCGGCCCTCATGCCGGAGGTGTACGGCCTATCGGCGATGAGATTCCTGGTTGGAATTTTGTACGTATGATGATCCGACGATTCCCTCACTTATTCTCTGCCTCTCTCTTCCGCTCTGTGCAGCCTCTGCGGCCCGGCGACTTGCCTTCTGGGCTACATGACGGAGTTCTCCTCGCCACATGCACGTCCGCCCCTTGTCGTTGTGTTCAGCCTTGCCATTGGCGTATCGCTGATCTACTGCCCGCTGGTGGCCAAGTTATTTCTGCCCAAAAAGTACTGCGTGCTCACGGCCAGCTCCTATTTGCTGCGCCCCTGGCGCTTTCTGATGTTGCTGTACACGCTGCCCGGCGTCATCGCCCTGCTGGGCCTGTGCTTCCTGCCGGAGAGTCCCTACTATCTGATGTCCGTGAAGCGCAAGGAGGAGGCCCAGGAGGTGCTCGCATGGCTGTGTCGCCGCAATCGCAAGAACAAGGACGAGCTGAACATCGAGCTAATCGACTTTCAGAGGCACACCATTGTGGCCAAGGCCAACTACTTTAAGCTGGTGTGGGACGACAGCATTCGTTTGGTGAAGCCGCCCTACTGTCGCGACTTTATGGTCTGTACGCTCCTCTCGTTCGGCATGTTCCTCATGTGAGTGTTCCTCATCTTCTTGGCAGTACTTTCGATTTGTGCTATAAATTTCAATTCAACAGATCCCTTGGCCTGGGCATGTGGTATCCCCTGCTGCGGAGCCAGGACAACAGCCAACGGCGCCTGCTCTGTGATGTGCTCAGCAAGCCCAAGAACTTTGATCAGCCGAAGAACGTTTCGGCCTCCAACGAGATGCCAGACTTCACCGATCCCATTTACTACGGCATCGCCTACATTCTGTTCTACTTCCTGGCCCTGCTGCTGCTGCTGTGCATGTCGCGGAAGCACGTCTTCGTCTGCTACGTTAGCGTTGCGGCCATTTGTGGCATGGCGCTGAACTTCATCAAGGAGCCGATCGCCATTCTGATATGCTTCAGCACGATGATGATCCTGCCGGGTGTGATGATCACCCTGGTGTCCTCGGTGCTGGTGGACTGCATGCCCACGCAGCTGCGTGCCAAGGCCCTCAGCCTGAACAAGGCGCTGTCGCGTCTGGGTGCCATTCTCGGCTGTCTGCTGGTGGGCCTCATGCTGCAGGTGTCCTGCGTGGCGACACTCAACATCTTTGTGGCCTACCTCATATGTAAGTGGCGCCAGCCGAGCCCTCGATGCGCTTCTAACGACGATCCCCTTTGCTTCCTTCCAGTTTGCATCGTTCTGTGCTTCCTGCTGCCAAAGTGACAAAGTGACGCAGCCGACCAGGCTCTACGCTTCAGTTTTGTGTTATTTTTGTGATTTTTGAGTATCGTGACTTTGAATAAATCCGATCTGGTTCTATGACTGACATAGACGATGTGTTTGCCATGCTGGGTAAGCTGCACAGACACAGCCCACATTCCTCGCATTCCTCGCATTCCTCTTGACGTTCTCGTCTGGTCGCAGGCTTTGGCCGCATGCAGGTCTTCATATTCTTCAGCTGTGCCATTATACAGATGTACGTGACCAACGAGCAGCTCGGATTGACGGTGATCGTGGCGGGGGCCACGTGTGACCTGGGCATCCACGACCATCGCCTCTCGTGGCTCTACGCGACAATCATTAGCGGCCAGATCGTGATCAGCCCCTATATGGGCTATAAGGCGGATGAAATCGGGCGACGCAGGCTGCTGCTCATAACGCTCATCCTGAGTCTGGTGTTCTCCCTGCTGTCGGCTTTAATGCCAGACTTTTGGTCTTTTCTGGTGATGCGCTTCATCGTGGGTATCTTGTGAGTAACTGCACTCGGCTCCCGGATTCTACCACTCAGGCACCAACAATTGTTAACCTCTTTCTCGCGTGCAGCGTGACAGGACCCTCAACGTTGGTTGTTACCTACTTGAGTGAGTTCACGAAGATCTCGCTGCGGGGTAGCGTGATCAACTACCAGAGCTACTTCATCGGCATCAGCATGGTCCTAACAACATGTAAGATGTACTCCATGTACTCCATGGCTTGCCTATATAGAATCTTCCCATGGCAGGTGTGGCCTCGGTGCTGCTGCCCCTGAAGCTGAGCCACAGAATCGTCAACGATTACGCGCTCACCAGCTGGCGTGTTCTGGGCCTGCTCAGTCTGCTGCCTGGCCTCGTTGGACTTGTCACCATGTGGCTGCTGCCCGAGAGTCCCAAGTATTACCTGGCCGTCGATCGGCAGGAAAAGGCCATGGAGGCCCTGGAGAGATGCTGCCGCCTCAACAAGGGCAAAGATGTAACCCTCTCCAGTCTGGGTGTGGAGTCCGTCACGCAGCCGCGCCTGCCCGAGAAGCCAGTCCATCGCAGGTGAGGCCCCACCTGAATTGTTTGTTTCCATCCCATTCCGTGCATGTGTCCTTGCCAGTGTCTTCGCCCGCCAGTGGTACGATGTGGTGCCCCTCCTGCGTGGCGTTTATTTTCGTCACTTGGCACTCGCCTCTGCTGCCATTTTCATACTGTTGGGCACGTAAGTATCGTATCCCTGTCATTAGGTATGTATCCCTCTGAAGATGCTGAAGATGATCATTCTGTGGCTTTCAGTGGTGCTGGCCTGGCCAGCTGGATGTTGCGTGTCCGTCATCTCACGCTAATGAATAAAGACTCAGAGACCATCTGTGCAGTGCTCGACAAATTTGATGAAAACAAAATGACTCTGCCAAAGGTGAGCTCTACTTCCGAAGGTGGGATGTGATCCCCTAGGTAATCCCGCATGTTGTTTATGTTTTAGTGTGACTTGGGCATGGATGACCTGAAGGACTCTGCTTTCCATGGTCTCGCCGTGCTTGGCTTCTTCATATTCACGAGCATCCTTCTGATTTGGTTTGGTCGCAGGGTCATCGTTTTTGCATATGTTTTGGGCGCAGCCCTTGCTGGCTTCCTGCTGAACTTTGCCAAGGACAAAACGCTGATACTCATTTTATTTCTCGTTTTAATTGTGACGCCGCTGTGCAGCCTGAGGCTGACCCTGACGATTCTCATCGACCTGATACCCACTAATCTAAGGGGCAAAGCCGTTTCCCTCAGCATGATGGTTGGATGTCTGGGCGGCCTGATCGCCAGCCTCTTCGTGGGCTACACCATGAAGGTCAGCTGCTATGCGACCTTCAATACCTTTGTGCTGGCCCTCATACGTACGATGTGGCACCTGTTATTCCATAATTCCGTAATTTTTTCTCTTGAAAACTCTCTCATCCCCAGTTTGCGTCGTCCTCATCGCAATGCTGCCATCTGATGGGAAAATGAGCGCCAAAAAGGCATCTATGTAGTCCGTTGTAGCTTTATCCTTGTATGTCGTGTGTTAAGCCATTCAAATAAAAGCAGACTCTGCCTTAAGCTTCACCTTCAGCTTCTCTTTTTGTCTGTGTGTTGGCAGACTTGGCAATATATCGAACAAATAATGACTGACATTGACGACGTCTATCACTTGTTGGGTGAGCCTCGCACCACGATGGAGGACCACTGCAATCTCATCTTTGGTTATCTTTGGTCATCTTTGCAGGCTTTGGTCGGATGCAGCGGACCATCTTTGTGTGCTGCATGCTGATTCAGATCTACATAAGCAACGAACAGTTGGGCTTGTCTTTGATCGTGGCTTCGAACTCCTGCGATCTGCACATTGATGATCACCGCATGTCCTGGCTGATGAGCGCCGTCTTTGCCGCTCAGATCCTGGCCAGCCATTACGTGGGCGACAAGTCTGATGAGATTGGGCGACGAAAACTGATGCTAATATCGGGCTCCCTGATGCTTCTCTCGTCTCTCCTCTCGGCCTTCATGCCCGAGTTTTGGTCCTTTCTGGTGTTGCGCTTCCTAGTAGGTGTCTTGTAAGTATCTAACGCGAAATTGTTTCCACACTGATGCCCCTCTTCGTTGCCCCAAAAGTGTGACTGGACCGACAGTGTCTATGCAGACGTACTTGAGCGAGTTCACGAAGTTCTCCCTGCGACCCAAAGTGCTCAACTACGTCAGCTATGCCATAGGTCTGAGCATGATCTATGTGCCATGTAAGGTTAACCCATAACCCATATGCTATGCCACATATCACCTGACCTGAGTCCACAGGTATTGCTGCCGTGATCAAGGTAAACGTGCACATCTACAACGATTACGTCTTCTCTAGCTGGCGACTGCTGATCCTGCTCAACCTGCTGCCTGGCATTGGTGCATTCATCATGCTCTATCGACTGCCCGAGAGTCCCAAGTATTACCTGTCGGTCAACGAGGATGACAAGGCCATGGCCGTGCTGGAGAAGTGCTGCCGTCTGAACAAGGGCAAGGATGTCACCTTGGCCAGCCTGGGCGTGAGCTCTGTCACGCAGCCACGTTTGCGTGGTGCTCCCATCAAACGGAAGTAAGGGGCACATCGATTACAGTACATTCACAATTACATTCGATATATTTTGTTTCCCCCCGTGTGCGTTCCAGCTGCGTGGCTCGCCTGTGGTACGAGTCACTGCCGCTCCTGCAAAAACCCTACGTTCGTAACTTTTTCCTCACGTCCATAGCTGTGTTCGTTCAATTTGGCGCGTGAGTTATGGCCACTCACAGGTGAAAGATGATGGGTAGGTAGATTTATTGACGCTTTCTTGCAGGAGTTTCGGACTGGGCGTGTGGATGCTGCGCGTGCGGCATCTCATTCTGCAAATAGAGGAAACCGAGCCGATCTGTGAGCTGATGAAGGAGCACGGACACCAGAATTTGAAGCTTCCGACGGTGAGTCAAGGGCTCTTTGATGTTATATGTCCACGCCTCATGTGTCCCTTTCTGGCCGGCAGTGTTCTTTGAACTTTCACAACGTGCAGGACTCCATTTACCACGGCGTCTTTGTCCTTTTCGCATTCGTTTTGACGAGCTTTCTGCTGATGTGCATCAGGCGCCGAACCATTATATCGATATACCTGCTCACGGCTGGCCTTGCGGGCTTAATGCTGAACTTTGCAAAGGACGACACACTGATATTGATCGTGTTCCTCACTCTCATTGTGCCGCCGATATGCAGCCTGCGACTGACAGTATCGCTGCTCATTGATCTGATTCCCACCCATCTGAGGTGAGTTTTTTGGATCCGCTACTCCACATCGTTGCATCTGCATTCGTGTTCCCAGGGGCAAGGCAGTTGCTCTTTGCTTGATCTTTGGACGCGCAGGTGTGCTGACTTCCAGCATGTTTATTGGCTACACTCTGAGGCAGCACTGCTATGTGACCTTCAATGGCTTTGTGCTGGCCATGATTGGTAATACTTTATTTATTGAATATTCATATATTCTACATAATAAACAATTATCAATTCCCTTCCTGTAGCTGCCATGATCCTCATTCTGCTGCTGCCCTCTGAGAGTAAAATGATGGACAACCTGTCGAAGTAGAGGGCCTAGCTGTCTCCTGCCAGCCCCAACATTAATTTCTACCCTACCCGAAACAGGTAAAAAACAGCTTCATAAACAGAATATACAGCATGGCAGCGTGGCGTATACGTGATATGCGTAATTATTTGACAGGCTGGCAGGCAGGCTTCATTAAAACTTTTAGGGAGCAGCCTCCTCGGGGCTCGGGACTCGGGTACGCAGATTGTGGTGTGGGTGGATGTGCGCACCAGTAAGGGCATGACAAGGGCAATGTGGGCTTTCTTATCTGTCTTGCCAATCAGTCAATCAATCATTCAATCAATTGGGCGCACAGCACGAAGTGAAAATTTTATATCCGCCCCACGCACCCCTCCGGCGACAAAAAAGGATTATGGCAAAAGTTCAAATCATTTTTTTTTTTTCCATCCGCCAGCCAACGAAAAATAAAATAAACGTCAAATAAACTTGGCGACAGATGCGCGAGGACTTTTCCTGTACGATAAATATACATTCATATATACACAAGAGTGGGTATATGTATATGTATGTATGTATATCTATAAGTATAGCGGATATGAAAGTGCGTAAAAGGCAGAGACGGGAAACGAAACGAAACGAAATGGAAAGCAAAGAAAGGAAAGGAAGAGTACGGAAAAGGAAAGCAAGGCAATCGCTAAGCGGCTTAATAATAACTGTCGGAGCAGGAAAATCGAAACGGTCGGGGCGGAGCGGGGCGGGGAGGGGCTGTGGTGTAGGTTGGGGAAAACGCGAAAAACATATTGAGGAGAACGACAAAGTTTTTTTTTTTGCCGAACAAGCACAATACTCGTAATAGGGGGGACATCTCTCCGGGACGATGGAGCTGTCGAATCCCGTCTACTCCTTCGAATCTCCACCCAACCTACCTAGGAACGTGTGGCTGGGCTAGCGCCACCGTTTGGGGACCAATAGAAGGCAGACGCAGACAGAGACGTCAGACTTCAGAGGCTGCTACTTATTTTCATATTTAACGGCTTGTTTGTGGCTCAGGAAAATGCGTATTTCGGCTTTGTTCTCTTATCTGGCGTTGTTTTTCCAGCGTCGCCAGCCAGTGAGACTTTTTCATATTTTGCATTCGCGCTGCCTGGCTTTTAAAAGTTAATTTCAAGGCTGAGCTATTCCAGAACAGCGCTCAGAGCGCTCTGCTCTGGGTTGTCAGCGTGCTGAAGGGTTTATGAGGCACCAACCCAACCAACCAGCCAAGCAAGCAACAAACCAACAGGTAATAAGGTATCAGGCACTTGCCACCCGTGTGGCTTTGCATTTTAAACAAAAATTTGTTGAGAGTTTTGCCTTTTGTTGTGAGTTTTCCTTTTCCTTTTCTAACTCTCTTTTTTTTTTGCTGTGTTTGTTGACTGGTTTTTCTTTTCTTAACATTTTTCTTCGTTTTTTGTTCGGGGTGCTTCTCTGTATGATTTTTTTTGGGGCCTGTGCAAATAGCATCAATAAGCTTAAATAAGCTCCAGCCACAGCCAACGCAGCCACGAAGATGGCATCAGAAGTTTCCCTGTGTGTCCTGGCACTGGCACTGGGACTGGGACACTGGATTATCAAGTGGTATTTTGTGTGCTGGTGCTGGTGTCTGCGTGTATCTGTGTGTGGGTGGGCTTGTAATAAGATTTTGCGAATGCGAGACACTCTTTAACATGCATGCGACGGCGATGGGAGAGTAGTACTTGGGTAATTGTGTGTGAAAGCGAGCGTTAATTAAGTGGCAAACATGCAACATCTCTAGCTGGAACTTGGAATATTCTTCCAGTAATTATGGCTACAGAGGGGATGCTTCGGTGGGAAGGGATGCGGTGGGGCAGGAACAGAAGAAGTAGTAGTAGTAGTAGCAGTATCTAAAATGCCAAACGCAAACGCAAACTCAATCTCAACTCAAGTTCATTTTGCATTCTTACCAGTGGTGGATGTGGTGATGTTTTTATTTTTGTTTTTCTTGTATTTTTTGTTAGTGTGTCTGTAGTCCTGCCGTAATGCAGTATACATTTCAGTTAGATATATATTTGGATGCCATTGCGTAAATATATGTGGTTGCTGTTAAGCTCAATTTGCAGGGATTGTTTTTGCTTGTATAATTTACAAAGGTATTTTCAGGTTTTCAGCATTCATTTGTCTGTTGCCTGCAACCATTCTCTGTTCTGTTCTGTGCTGTTTCTGTGGTTTCTGTTACCGTGAGAGTGCCAGAGTGGAGTGTCGAAGTGGAGTGGAGTGCAATTGCTGCAATGTTGTGGGTGGGTGTTTTGCTCGAAAGTGGGGAATTTTCATTAAATTAAATTAAGTTAAAATATGCAAAAGAAAGTTACACAAAATGCTCGGTACTGACGGGTGCCAAGGGGCCTTCAAATAAATGTGCCCTTAGCTGGTGCTTTAGATTCTTGCAGTTTCTTTTTTTTTTTGTTGTTCTTTCTATAAATTAAATTCTATGTTAAGATTTTGTTTTGGTTTTTTGTTTTGTTGGTTTTAATTGAATTTGTGTGTGAATTTCGTTTAGTGTTTTTTCCATTGTGTGGGGGGTGTGTCAAAGCTTTGATAATGCGACACCGATATTGTGGCTAATAGTGGGAAAGATATGTAAGAAGAAGACATTAGATAGATGGATAGACCGAGAGATAGACAGTGGTATATATATATATAGATATGTACAAATGCAGTGACAGACTTATTATCTATTGTGTGGCATAATCAGTATTGTCATGAGACACGACTAGCAGCAAGGCACAGTTGAGGATTGAGGTTTGTGAGTGATTGTAGTGTACAGGAAAGACACAGAGCAAGAGACCGAGCAGAGACACAGTTAGGGATAAAGAGACAGCGTCACAGAGAGAGAGAGATAGAGAGAGAGAGAGAGAGAGAGAGAGAGAGAGGGAGACACACACAGAATAGTCTCGTCTCCAGGGGTGCGAGATATCTCCTTATAGTTCGAGTGTAGGCAAAATCATAACAGTTATAAGCAGCCCATCAGCTACATAGAAGCATCTCAAAGTCCCCTCCCTTGTGCATACATATGCATGTACATATGTATGTACTCCCCTTGGATAGTCCCGTAGATAATATTGAACACCTGTACTCACGTCGCGATCCCATGCGCTTATGCTGCTCGGTGCCCAGACTCATGGTGCGTCCCAGTTCGCCGCGGACAGCCTTCAAGGATTTCAAGATCTCATCCGGATCGCGTCGAGCCACGGAAGAGCGACGCCGTCCCACAAGATACGATGTGGGTGGCGTAGCCATGGCGTCCTCCTCGAGCCGCTGCTTTTCGGCATCCTGGAAACTCGATCGACGCGAGCCCGGCAATGAGCGCGAGAAGTCCTTGCCCAGCTGGTAGACCTCCACCTCCATGGTCTCCGATTGCGATGAGCCGCGCCGGGAGCCCGCCATCCAGGCGGTGTCCGGATGCAGCAGCGTTGCCCCATCTCCAATGGAGTCTACCTCATCGGAGATGGATCGCTGCATGTTGTAGTCGCGCCTCAGCAGGCGGCTCACATCGCCGCCACACGGTGCCCCGGCCCCGGCTGCAATGGAGCCCCGTGGCGACACACTCGGCGACTTGCTCATGCTGATGCCACGCAATCCCTTGGTGTCGTCCAGCCGGCACCAGATGGCCTGATCGTCGAGGAACGCCTGCTGCAGCTCGATGCTGCATTCGCCCAGGAATATCGATTCGGTGTGCGGCACCAGATCCCACAGCTGTATGTCTATATAGCGATCCATCAGGCTGTCGGCCTTGACGTGCCCAAATGTCAGCGTCGCATTCCAAATGGGATTCTGTGTGGGTCGACTGACCTCCGTCTGCTGCACACAGCCATCGCCGCTGCAGAGGGATTAAGAGAGGCAGAGGGAGAGGGAGAGAGTGGATGATGAATTAAGGCAGATTGAAATGGAATTATGAGGCATTAAAATCACTTACCATTTGGGCAGTATACGGACCTTGGCATATGCCTCTGGCAGATTGCCGTGCCCGTAGGCCTCGTCCCTTAGCGCCAGATCATCGGCGGCCATCAGGGAGACGACCAGCTCCTGCCGCTCAGCGTGATACCAAACCTGAATCTGGACACGTCCAGAGACCATTTTCTCGCGTGCAATTTGTTCCTGCGGCGGATGGAAATGCTCATTAGTGGGTAGGGACACAGAAGCAGGAAAAAGGCAGCTAAAGAGAACGAGAGAGAGAGAGAGAGAGAGCGAGTGCCTGCTGCTAGGGAAGTTCTACTATGAACTATTTATGTATTTTATGTATTTTATGTATTTTGTGTATTTGGGTTATTCATCAGCCTATTGCCTACGCAGTGGAAAAAAAAGCACGCACGACTTTTGGGTCGCCTTTTTGGCTATTTACAGCTGTTTTGTTATCTAGTTTGGCTGTACGCCTTCTCGTGTGTGTTGTGTGTGTGTTGTGTGTGTGTTGTGTTTGGTGTGTGTGTGTAGTTTCGGTTGTGTACATAAACTGAACAGCGAAATGAAAGCAATCAAAACGCAAATAAAAACTAAATTAAACGAAGCAAAAGCAAGAGACAGCGAGAGAGAGAGAGAGAGAGACAGAGAGAGAGAGAGAGAGAGAGAGATACATAGGTGGAACATGCTATATAAATTGCAGTGCACATACCCCTCGGGGGTCATGCCACGAACACAGCGACACGACACATAAATAGAATGCAAATTATGATGCTGCCACACACACACACACACATACAAGCAAAAATGCAAACAAAGCGGAGTGCATGTGTGTTGCATAAACAAAAGCCTCCACACACACATCTACACATCTACAGATAAACAAAGAGCGCACCGCAAATGCAATCTACAATCTGCAATGGTGGGCGTGGGGGTGGCGGTGGGACTGTTATATCTACTATTTTTCGTACGAGTATGACCCACCAAAACGGAAGTCATTGCGGCGCAGTGGCGCATAACGGTTCGTTGGTGCCCTGTGGAATGTGTGTCCTAGTGTGTGTGCTAGTTGGTAATGGCGTGGCATCCACATATAACATATTCATTGCGTGTACATGCGCACACCCACACCCACACACTAAAACAGTACAAATACTAGCAGCAGCAGCCATGAATTGACTTTCTCTGCAGCAGCAGCAGCAGCAGCAACAGTAGGAGCAGCAGCGGAAGCCGCCATATTGCAATAACGTGTACCGAACGGAAATGGAGCCCGTACACGCGGCAACCAACCACCAACCACCTCCCCCCACCCACAACACATGCTGCTGCACCATTCATTGCCAACTGCGAACTGTTGCTCGGTTCTTTGGCAACTTTTTATGCCCGAAAAAAAGACGAAAATTATTACGTTATGCCGCCGCCGCCCGCCCACTCCTCTCATCTCCGCTCATCTGTGGAAATCGAATTCGTGTCGGGACTGTTTATAAGCCACAGAGAGGAAAAGGACACGTAGACGGGGGGAGGCTTATTTATTTGTATCTACAGGTAAGCAGGCACATGTACTTGCTGGATTATTGGAGTTTATCAGGCAGAGCTGGAGCCAGAGCTGGAGCCAGAGCCATAGCTGGGGCGATAAAAGCCTAAGCACTTGAAAACTTTTCAACCCAGCCCGGAATACCTCCCACCCCACCGCCCTGTGCCTGTCGATAATCATAATGATGAAGGCTCCCACCAGACAGTGTCAGCGAGCGTGTGGGTTGGGCTGGGCGTTTCTCAATTGTTGTTAAAAGTTTTCTAATTTTCGACATTTGAAGCATTTTATGCCTCCCAGCTGTCAATTAAAGGGGCGACAGGACAGGCCCCCATCTAGCCCGAGCACCTGTTGCTGACAGAGCCGCAGCGGGCACTAAGACAAAAAACTGAACTGTTGCCCCGAATGGACGCACGGACAGACGAACAGATGGGGCTGTGTACCTTTCACGGGGCGCAATGAAAAACTCGCACGCCAACTTGACACTTGCCCGACAGCAGCAAACAGTTTTGGGTCTTCGTGGGGCTGCAAAAGTTTCGCCAGTCGAGAGGAATATTGCGGTTTCCGTTTGTTGCTACTTGTTACTTCTATTCGCAGATTTAACCGCTGCAAAAGGTAACTCAAAGTGACAGAAAAGTTTGCGCCAAAGGTGCGTATGAGTAATTAACATGCCAGCACAAATAAGGATACACACACAAGCACACACATACATCAAAGATATATACAGTAAAATTATACATATAGTCTACTTATATGCTGAAAATACACAGCAACAATTGTATTTACAGCACACAAAAACCTAAGCAAAAATAATAACAAGGAACAAGGAATTGCCGGGCATTTAAAAGGAATTCATTACGACTACGATTGAGTAAAAGTCATTTGCAAATTGTTAATAAAATCATTACATTCAATAAATCAATCAACCAATCAAACGCATGGCGTTGAGGCTTAGGGTGCGGGTTGCGGTGGGCGGTGGGTGGAAGCAGCACAGCTCACAAGTCAATCACGCGCTGCAATCGCGATTTGGATGACAGTCATAATACTTTCGGCTGTAATTTCGTTTGTTTTGTACATATATTTCATTTGGTTTTACTCGGGTTTCTGTTTTCTGTTTTCAGATGTTTACCCCTCAATTTTTGGGTAGGTTTCTGTTTCTGTTTCTGTTTCAGTTTTCTCGGTTTTCAGTACAAGTTTTTCTTGCATTTGTTTTTTTTTTTCAAATTATTTTTGTTGTTGGTTTATTTAATCTGTTTATAGCCATAACTCGTGCCAGCTGGGGTTACATTGGTAGTTTTGTACACAGGAAATGAAAATTGAGTTCAATGTTCGTATACAATTATAGCATATAGTTAGTTAGGTAAGTTAAGTAGTAGATATATGTATATTGTTGCATGTGGGTTGTCGTTGTAGTTTTTGTTTATTTATATAGTAAGTATTAATCGCAAGTCGTTCAAGAGAAATGCTAATCAATCGGTTCAAGACGTTTCAAGAGCCACTAAATGCTATTCAAAAACAAATTCGTAGACTTAGGCGTAAGTTATATGCAAATTAATCTAAAATGCAAACCAAAACAGAAAACATACAACAAATGTGAAAGAATCTAAGAGAAAATTCAACTCAAATCGAATTGGCAAATCAGGCAAAAACCCAAAAACTTAACTCAAACATTCTTGTATCGTGTGGTGTTTATTTCTTGTTCTGCGGCCCTACACAATCATGGACAGCGTGAATACCCTGGACAAAACATAAGTGCTGCCAATGGACCAGCCATCGGCATCAGCTTGATTGGTCTGTTGCATCAGTTTCTATAAGGTAACATCATGGGTACATTACCCACACACAATGGGCTTTTGTTGCGACAAATTAGCAAATGCAAAACTAAAAGGCATTTAGGCATTGGTTTTAATTACAGAAAATGTGTGGACGATAAACGACAGAGTGTATGTGTGTGTGTGTGTGTGTGTGTGTGTATGGTACAGGGTTTCGCTTCGGAGGACAGCTAGGAGGATGGAGAGTGTAAAGCAAATACAACACTATAGTTCCTATATACATACAATATATATAGAAGAGAAGGGGGAGAGAGAGAGAGTGGCATAATTAGAGAGTCAAAGTCGGGTATTATGCAAAGCCAAACCAAGAAGAGAACACAACAGAACCGAAGCGAAACGAAACGAATGGAAGGAAAAGAAACCAAACGTAACGAAAGGAGAGTAAAGTAAAGGTAAACATTCGCTAAGCGAAAGCCAAACAAAAGCTCATAAATTGACGGAGAGGTAAAAGTGAGAGTGAAAGTGGAAATCGTATACAGGAGGGACACAGACACAGACACGGTATGCGACAGCGGCAGTGGCAGTGGCAGCGGAAAAATCACAAGAAAAACCACGCAACAAGCGAAATGAAACCAAAGGGAAAGAACAAGAAAAATGAAATGAAAGCATTACATAAAGTAAAAGAAAGCGCACTTTACAAAATACATCTCGATTGGGTGGGTAGGTAAGGGGTTGGATTGGGGGGAGGGGCATTACAGAATAACTTATACGAGTAGAGCCTAGCTATATTACACTGGTATTGTTATTAGGTATTAGGTATTATATCATTATTATTATTACGTTCTGTTTTAGTTTTAATTAGTTTTCTAGCGGGTTTTGGGTGTGCTAAAACTGTACAGTATATAGGGTATATGGAGTATATAGGGTATATAGGGCGGGCTGATTGTACAAAGAGTACTTGTGATACTTTTGTGAGTTGCTTTTGTGTTCATTTACCATTAGATTGATGGCTTCGTTCAGGTGGGTGGTGGTGGGAGCGGGAGCGACGGGTCAACGATTATGCTGCTGCTGCGGCTGCGGCTGCTGCTGCTGCTGTGCGAAAGGATAAAGCTCAGAGTCCAGAGAGGCTACCATTTGTTGGCGGGGATTTCAACTTCAATTTGTGTTATTGTTTCGGTTTTGTTTGCAGTTAAATAGAGAGACTTTATTTTTCACGTTTCTTTTGCTTGTCTTTTCGCTTGTTAAATTTTTAGTTTTAGTTTTAGTTTTAGATTTCTAGCACATTGGTACGCACATTCTGTGTGGTATACATACGCATTTAGAGACTAATACATATAACTGGATGTATCTATATATATATAGAGTGGGTGTATCGTATAGCGTAGGGTTTGTTCGTATGTAAATGTACACATACAACATATACATACATGTAGATAAAGTTTGTTAATTTGCATGCTGCTGCACTCTGCACTCTTTTCAAATTAGTTTCCACTTACAGCCACAGCTGCTGGTATTACGTTTACGTTACGTAAATCTAAAAAAAACGGGGGGAATGGGTGGGCCGCGGGCCGCGGGCCGCTGCAACAAGTGGCAGTCATCAGTTCAGGGGACACTTGCAACCTGCATCTTCCTCACATACAAAGCTATGGAGCTTGGCTTGGTTGTAAAGGTTTATAAATTTAGCACATAATACAGTTACCGTTAAAGTTACAGTTAGAGTTACAGTTAGAGTTACAGTTAAGGTTAAAGTTACAATTAAATGTATAGTTAGGGTATATGTATATGTTAGTTACAGTTACTGTTACAATTACAGATACAGTTCGAGTTTCATTCTTCGCTTTCGCTTTCGCATTCGTTTCATTTTGTTTGGTTTCGTGGTGTGGGGCGTGGTGTGGTGTGGGGGCTATACAAAAAGTGTTATCGTGTGTGTGTGTGTGTGTGTGATCGAAATCAAAGTTAAATGTTTATCACCCATCTGACAGGAGTTACACAGCTAAAAAAGCATTCATTTAAGGTTTAACGAGTAAATTCATTTTGCCTCTTTGCCTCCATTGCTAATCTCCTCTTCGCTTCTTCGCTTCTTCGCCTCTTCTCTTATGCTTCTCCTTCTATTAGTTTCTTAAACATGTATAGGTAGGTGGGCTCTCTCCACAGAGTTCACTTCTACTTCCGCTTCCGCTTCCGTTTACGCTTTCGCTTTCGATTCAACATTTAGAAACACATCAAAACATCACACATCACTAACAATGACATACAAACGCGTATATGTATGCAGGGGTATACAGTAGGTACAGGTACATACATACATATATACATACAGGTGTACAACTCCAAATAAAACACACACACACAGAGATAGTATATGCACATGTGTGTGTGTATGCATGTATGTATGTTGGCATATAACTGCATGGGGTAAGTACACACACATGCATATATACGGGTATACATCTACATATGTATACATATATATTGTACATACATACATATGTACATATATGCATTTAGGGATTTCTTTGGGTATTTCTTTGGCTTAAAAACACATTTAAACATTTCAACAACAAACTACTGGTATTTTTGTTTTGTTTTGTTTTGTTTCTTTCTTTTTGTTTGGTTTCTCAAATTGTGGTTTTTGTTTTGTTTTGTTTTGTTTTTTTCAATTATTTTTTTGGTTCGTCTTACTAATTATCGTAAATTCAATAACATTTAAAACACACACACAAATATTGTTAAACTCTGTTTCGCTACAAATTTTTGCACTAAATAACATTTATAAAGATTTCGGTTTATCTAATGTATATATTGTATACTATATATATATATATAGGCATAAGTATATATATATTTTTCTATATATACGGCCCCAGCTGAGACCGAACTCAGACGATCGATCGATTGGCGGGCAAATTATTAATTATTAATTAGTAGTTTTAGTTTTAGTTGTAGTTGTAGTACGAGTACGAGTTCACTTCGGTATTCATTTAATTTCATATTAATTCATCTTTGTATTCTCTTGTGTTCCTTAGTTATTATTGTATCAATTCGTAGAGCCTAGAGTACTAGCTGGTCTACACAAGCGGCGCATATATATTCGGCGTATATCGCAACTATATTCCGGAGTTAGGGGGGTGGGGGGAAAAAGGGGAGTGTTATCAACACGAATAGACACGAATGCTAGTTGTTTTCCGACTATCAGTTATCAGTTAAAATGCTATAGATATTTTCGCTTAAAACTCTATTGTTTTTGGTGCTTGTTCTTACGGTGTTTGCTGGGCAATTCGATTGCCACAGGCAAGAAGAATCTTCAACAAAGGGACAAAAACTGATTTGGAAACAAAGAACGAGTATACACACACAATATCTATCGAGTACGAAGTACGAGTATATCTTTGAGCATCTCACAGCTCACTTTTCTGACTAAGTTTAGTAGTTCGCCGCTCTGCTTATTTTTAACCATCTACATATGTATGTATATACGATTAGTATGTACATACGATACATACATAAACATGTATGTATGCACGTACGTTCTATATATGTACTATGTATATATTGTTTTTGTTTTCTCGAAATCACTAAGTACTACCAACACCGACAAAATAAAATATATGTAAGTACATCTTGTGGTTATAATGACAGAAAAATAGCAATGAACACATTTAGTTTATCCATTTTCCACTTTGGTCATGGTCATGGTTATGGTTAATAATCCAAATTAAAAACAATTCAAATCCAAATCGTAATCAACACAAAACAGAAATCACATCGAAATCAAGTAAATGTTTTTCTTTTCTTTTTCTTTTCATTTAGCTACTGTTTGAAAATCTGGTTTATATGTACGAGTATGTGTTGCCAAAACGAAAATGGGTTCCAAAGGGCATGGATCTGTTTATCGTTGAATCAGTGACTGGAAAATGGTGATTTTTCATATATGTATAATATATATGTAAATATATTTAAATAGCCTTGAAGCTGCAATCAGATGCAAGAGAGAGAGAGTTCAATGCATTTCGTGAGCACTTTGTGAAAGCTGAAATCTTGTTTATGTGTGTGAGCGTGTCTGCGGTGTGTGTGTGTGTGTGTGTGTGTGTGTGTGTGGGTGGGGCGGGGGAAAAACTGCTGCAAATGCTTAAGCTGCATTTAATAGCCATTTACTTTAGGTATTTATAGTATACGGTATGCTATGTATATATGTATATAGAGTATATAGTATTTATAATTTGTTCTTTTTTTTATTTTTATATATTTAATATATTTGAATATTCGGGCAGCAGCTCTCGGACTGGACTGCTCCCCGCGAGCCTTCGCTTACGCAAATGAATAAAACAAAATAGTTTTATACCGGAGTTTTTGGTAATTTCCGTCTTGTTGGCGATGCTGGTGATTTGTCTGTGGTGGTTTCGGGTTCTGTATTCATTATATTCATACATTTCGGTTTATCATGATAAGAAGTAACAAGAAACGAGAGCAAAACAAATGAAAAAATTATGTAAATGTCAGATATGTTTACATACAAGGTACAAGGTATATATATATATATATATATAGAGAGATATATGGCATATATACATACACACAAAACAATGTAAAGGCAGAGAACTTAGTTGGGTAGAAGCGAGAAGCACTTACCCGCAATGAGGCCCAGGCCAACGGGACCATCGCCCGAACGTCGTGGTCCGCTCTGACCACCGGCATTGCCCGGCGGCAGATTCTCATCGAACAGATCGCACATACGAAAATCGGTGGCATGCTCCACGAGCAGTTCCACAATGTCCCCGGTGCGATCCATGATGGAGCAGACCTCCTCGAAGCTGCGGTCGATGAGGGACATCCCATTCCATTCGAGTATCTGCAAAAGTGTGCAGAATGTTTGTTTGGCATTCAAAATGAGAGCAATACACAAACCATCAATCATCGGGATATTAATTTTCGGCTTTAGCTGTTGACAGGCCTCATCTGTTGGCAGGGTGCGGTGAGCCCCTCGAGTGTGCCAGTGCCTATCTGTCAGTGATCCAACTAATCACTCGGCATACACCCCACCACCCGACACCCGATACCCTTGCCCCACTATATAGCATACCCTTTATGTGTGTGTGTGTGTGTGTGTGTGTGTGTGTATTGAGTGCTCACTCACCTTGTCTCCTTGCTGCAGGCCATTCTTTTCGGCCGCTCCACCCGGCACCGTCCAGACAATGTACGCAAAGAGTCGGCCATCGGCTCCGGTCTTGCCACCGACCACGCGCATCCCAAAGCCACGTGCTGCAGGAATAGACAATGTCAAAAATAATAATAAGATTCAGAACAAATTCAGAGCATTGAGCACTCAGCACTGGAGTGATTAGAAGTCAAGAGCAGAATAATCAATAGAGAGCGTCGCTTGAACTGGCCGAAAAAAAAAGGAGGAGCAAATCTGTGGCTTGCCGCTGACTGGGGGGCACGTAGTGGGGCAGATACAAATTTCGGGCATGTGGCAACAATTTGCGTTGATTTCATTTGCACTTTGTAGTGGCCTGCTCACAGTCTGCCCTTCTCCCCCTTTCAGAAACGTTGCGTATACGTCCTGTCGTCTTCGAATATTTTGTTTGTTTGCTTCAGCCCCCCCACCCAAGTGTCTGGCAAGTTTTTCTGCTTAGTCAACGTGTTCGGACTCGTTTGCTGTCTTTCCTACACTCTCCACAGGATGGATGTGCTGCTGTATATTTGTCGAGAATTTTTCCCAAAATGTTCGCACAAATTTCGCATTTATTTGTTCTTGTGCGGTCTTGGACCTGGACTTGACCGCTTTGCCCCGATGCCTGACCCTCGTTCGACCCTCTGAGGTTTATCGACATTTATTGCACTTTAAGTGTGCGAAATGTGCTGAGGGGGCAGTGCTGGGGCAGATACTGGCACTGAATCGAATTTCCCTGCCAAAATCCAAACAATTTAATTAATTAAATTGCACCTCTCGGGGGTGGCATTGCGGGTGGTGGGGTTGCTGTGCAGAGTTCAGTTTCAGGTACTTATCATTCGGGGCACAGAAAACTAATTTCAACAATTTGTGCACCAAAAACTTGGGAAAACGGATTTCCGGCGCTCGCTCGGTGGGGGCCTCGGTGGCCTCGAGGCCCGGCACAGCCACGACATTCAAGCGCTTGCTGCAGACAATGGCCAAAGAAAGTTAAGCAGGAACCAGCGAGAGAGGGAGAGAGCAGGGAGAGAGGAGCAGGAGCACTAGCAGCATCCGCGATGACAATGAAATTGTGTCGCCAAGGTGAGCTCCTTTGGAGCAGGAAGGACGACTTGCCTGCCAGCCTGCCAGCCTGCCTGTCGCATGGCAGGTCCAAGTTCTAGCGCCGGAAATGGCGGCAAACTTGTGCGCCGCTCCCCGCACCGACCCGCCCCCAGAAGTATGCAATAAAATGTTGCGCATCCGCCATCGCTGTTGATTCAGGCGCATTGATACCCAATTAGGGGATAAGGCAACATCCATTCCATTCCATTCCCAATCCATCCCATCCCGCCCTGCCCTGCCCCGCCCTACCCTTGTTTGTTGAGTGTGTTTTAATCAAAAGTTTTCCTTTTTTTTTTCTGCCTCCCCCACGGCCCTAAGACGACAATAAAAACGATATAAATAAAACGCAAATCCTTCTGCTGTCAGCGCAGCAAAAACGAAAAAAGCAAAGAAAATTCCGCTGCGGACAACCCCAACCTCAAACCTGCCACAGATTATTCATTCGATGACGCAACAGTTTTTGTTTTTTTTGGGTTACGCGCAACTTGCGGAATGGCCCGGTATACGGGACACTGTGTGCCACTTTCTCCTCTCCTTTTGAGCCGGCACTTAACATGCACGAAATGTGCGCGCTGAGTGAAATTTTCGATTGCGGCACGGCACGGCCCTGGCTGTTTGGCTATTTTGTTTGTAAAGTCTTTTGTCTCATTGTCTCGACTGACCAGCACCCAGCGACTCCAACAGCCCACGAGATTTCTGCTGTCCAGCCGTCCAGTTGCCCAGCGATTTTGCCCGCTTTTACGATACAATTTGTTTGCCGGATGCCGGAGCTCTTTTTTTATGTGGTCATCATTGGGATTTAATAAGCCAAACGAGCAGGAGCAGACCTGCAACACAGAAAAGGTGTACGAGCATTGTTTATGGTCTTCCAAGGGTCCAGTCCAAGGGGTTGGGCTGTGGGTTATGGGTTATGGGTTGGTTATTCCTACTTGGAGCACTCATTTCTTTTGTTGAACGAGGGGCGCAGTAATACTCGCACAATGCCAATATGTTGGCATTGGATTGAACCAACATTTGCGGCATTATTACTCAACGGAGGGGCAGCAAGCATAACCTCTGGCAGGACATGGTGGAGAACACATCATGCGACATCGAGTATACTACCACCTTTGAGCTGGCAATCGAAAAGTTTTCACTCTGTTCGGTTTTCTTTGACAAGTTTGTAATTTGTGCTCGGATCGCATGCAGCACAGTGCCTGGGCCAGGGACAGGGACAGGGACACACACAGACACTGCTCCACATGCTTCGTAATGACATTAACAGAGCAAAGTTTTAGCTTGAAGGACTTAATCGATGCACACCTCTGCACGTTGCACGTTGCACGTTGCAGCTCGCTTCTCCCTGGGTGTGTTTGTTTGTGTGTGCATCCTTCCTGCGGATGAGTCATGGGCGTTAGTGGCTTCTATCGGCTGTCATAAAAATTGACTCTTAATTAAACTGGAGCAAAGCAAGGGCGAGCTGTGCCAAGATTAAAGCAACTCCTCAAGGATACATAGTTGGCATATGGTATATGAAGGAATTGCTCGTTTAAAGTGTGCCAGCCCCAGCCCCAGCCCCAGCTCAGTCCGCCCACCTCATGTGGCAGGACTATGAAAAGGCACTCAAGTGGAAATCTAAGGACTGCGGTGAGTACTGCTCTCTGCTGGGCTGTGCTGGACTGTGCTGGGGGTCACCTGTTGACAGTCGAGGGGCATACACGCAATGCCAGCGTCAGCCCCGAGGTTCGTGATTTGCAGTAATAAATGTGCGAGTGTGCTAGTGTGCGAGTGTGCGAGTGTGTTAGTGTGTGTGTAAGTGAGGCTGCATAAAATTTCATTAGGCGTGTTAAGGCGCCATTTCGAGCTACACTTTCACATCCTGTGGAGAGTCCTGTTTCTGCTCGCCCACCCACGCCCCCCGCCCCTGGCCGATTAACAGTTGCCATGGCAAACACTTAAACTGTTGCATAATTGAAGGCACAGTCGAATGTTGGCAACAGGAAACAATTCAATTACATGCCCCACTCGCCAGCAGCAGCAGCAGCCAGTACTTGCCACTGGCTGTTGCACTCGATGAATGGCCATTGCGGCGGGGGGGGGGGGAACCCTAATTAAACTCCTCCATTAGTCGAGTGCAGCTGCTAATTACGGCCACCTCTGCCACGAACGAATGTTAACGCAACACACAACAAAAAATGTGCACCATGTTCGGCATTTCAAATTACAAGGCATCCCCCGACATCTGGCGCTGCGGCGCTTCCCCCTGCTGCTCCACTGCATCCTCTGCATTTGGTATCCACTTGCCACAACCTTGCGCCAGTCAATATATCAAGGCAAATTGCAGCACAGCTGCCACAGCCGCCTGCATGCATGTGCGAGTAGATGGGTGCGTGTGCGGGAGGCAGTCCTTGTGGTTAAGCCACACGGCAAGCACAAGCAGACGCACACCGTCTCAGGTGGTATACGTGGTAGGGAGGATATGGTTGGCCAGGGGGGGATACAGCAAATACCACCAGCAGCAGCGGCAGCCAAGGAAATGGTTTAGCACATTAAAATTCCACTTGCTTCGTTGCATATCAAATATGCCGGGTAAGCAGCCACAGCCACAGCCACTGCCACTGCCACGGATAGACAACAGAAGCGCCGCTCTGGCAAGTCGGACGGGGGAGTGGGATGAGGGATGAGGAGCTTAACTCATGATACGAGGACGAAGGTGGCTGGCTGGCTGGCTGGCTGGCTGGCTGCCTTGTCGTGTGTTGCGTTCCCCAGCTTCTGCTGAGGCTCCTCCTGATGCTGCTGATGCTGATGCTTATACGCATTTGTTGGGTATTGACATTCTTTTTTATGATATGCAAATTGAAATTTTATATAAGCAAGCGCACGTCGCACAGGTGACTAACTGACGGTAAAAAAGGGGGAAAAACTCTCTGCTCTGGCAGCCATCCAGCCAGCCAGCCAGCCAGCCAGCCAGCTAGCCAGCCAGCGGCTAGTTATTTTGATTGGAATTATAGGCGCTCGTTAGGGGTTGGGGTTGGGATTGGGGATGCTGCTGCTGCTGCTGTTGTTGGTTCATGGCGTATGTCTGATACTCTCGTACTCTAAGCGAATTAAGCTGAGAGCTGCTCCTTCGAGATAGTTTCCCATGCATATTCTACTTGGATTCCTGGAGCATTGTGTATCCACCCTGAATGAGATCGAATGAAATGCGTTGGTAGCCAACTGGGGGAAATGAATTTCCAATTTTGGATATTTTATGTTGCATCCAAAGTGTTGAAGTATTTTTCACTCGAGCTGGGAGACTGTGAAAATGGTGAAAATAATTTCTGCCTCTCTGGGATGCGCTGCTGTCCAGTTTTTTACGGCTTTCGAGTGCAGAAAAGTGTTCTGTTCGGTGTAAGCCATGCATGCATCTGGCCAGCACACACAAACACACATACATATATACGTATATACGTGTGCGCCTTATTATTTATGGCCAGCAGGGCATAAACTTTCCACTGGCATTTGGCCGTGGCATTTGGTAGTAGTGGCCAGGCGAGGTCAAGCATTTCTGGTTCGATTTTTTCCTACACTTTTTTATGCGCTCTATTTGAATATTCTCTGGAATTCTAATGCCCCTCCCCCCTGCCCACTCCCCACTGCCCATCGCTCTCGTGACTATGTGCCATGGATATTCCGTATTGATTTTGCTATGGCCCGATAATTAAAAATTCATTTGGGCTGCCGGGCTGCTGGGCTGCTGACTGGCCTCTTGAGGAATGCAACAAAAAATGCATATAATTAAAACCCGATCCACATTCACAGGAGACACACACACACACACACACACAGACACGGACACAGAGAGGGAGCACACGAAACAAAAGAGAGGACACGGACACACATTCAATTCAGGGGAGTGGAGAGGCGAGGACCCACAATGCCGAGCAGCTAAATGTCGTACATATATGTATGCCCCGCACCTTACTCGTATGCTGGAGAGCGGGCAGAGTGGGAGGAGTGGGCTGCTGTGTCCTTGCCACAGTGCACTGACAAAGCACCGCCCCCGAGGAGAGCTCCATTGAGCCCCATCGGTGTGCCTTTATGTCGATGAAATCCGCTCAGTGGCTTAATCTGCTACCAGTTTTGCTTCCGCTTTGGGCTTCATTAAGGCCCACGGGTGCCCAAGCCACATTATCCACCAGCACTTTGTTGGGGGAAGGAATTAAGGAGCGCAGCGGTGGACCCACACAGAGTCACAAGAGGTCTGGCGAGATGACAGGAAACGGTCGTCGGTTTGGCCATTCTGCCGGTCGTTTGCTCTCTCTGTCTGTTCTGTCTGTTCTGTCTGTCGAATTAGCATAGCCAAACGTTGTAATGAGTCTTGTTTACTTGGCCATTTCCGGCACGGTGCGGTGCGGTGCGGTGTGCCGCAACCAAGGAAGTGGCGGCAGCACATCAACCGAAGCCGAAGCCGGAGCCGGATGGCAAAGCTCTCCTTAAATGGGCAAACGCCACTGGGCATCACGCCACTCGGACAGACATTTGAGGTGGAAACCACCCGCCCTAAGCTCACTCACTGCGGTGCGCCTTGTCCGTGGGATCCCGACGCAGGATGATGCGCCGCTTTGATGCACAAATCGGTCCCGAGTCCACGTCGTGTATTACAATGCGTATGGCCTCGCCATCCATTGAGGTCTGACGGCGTGGCGCCTCCAAATCCTCCAGATTGGGGCCCGTGAACGCAGCCATCGGTGGCGGAATCGAGGCGGGCGGTGCCGCTGGCAAGGCCCCGCGATTCTGCAGCATTGCAATGTCGGGTCTGGAGTGAAATAAATCAAATTCGTTTGAGACTCTCTGAGCCGGCGGAAATTCCTTTTCCTTATTTCTTTTACTTACAGCTGTGAGCCGCGTCGTCGCATGCGCCGGTCGTCGTCTACCGTCAGCACGGGGCTTCCGTGGTCCGGCGAACCGGGCGAATCATCGTTCTGCATATCCTCCGAGGGGTGCGGCACCCGGAACGAGGGTCTGCGCGAGCCGGGCAGCTGTATGGGTGGCATGATGCCGCCGCCCTCACACGGCGACCGCTGCATCTGCTGCTGGCCTCCACCCGGCGACACTCCGCCCTGCACCAGTCCCGGAGCAAACACATCGTAGGCGGACTTTCTGTGGGCCCCCCCCCACAGCCCCAAGCGAGTGTGAGGATGTTGGCCGACTATTTACGAGGATTCGCTTACCTGCGCGGCATTGCTGGTATGCCCAGGCCGGAACCATCCGCTGCCATGCCCAACGCCGGTCCACCGCCGCCCATGCTGCCGCCCACGGGGCCCGTCTTCATGTCATCGTCGTAGCTGTGCTGTCGGGCCACCCGGGAGCCACGCCTGGACTGCATGCGCGATAGGGGCGCTCCGAACGGTGGCTCCTGGCCATCGCCACGCGGGGGACTGTTGGAGCGGCTGGGCGCCATGCTGCGGCCACCTTTTAGCTGCTGCAAGGCCGCAAGACACAAAACTCCGTGAAAGGTAAAGTTAAAGTGCTTAATGTTCGGCTGATGGCAGCCATAAAGTCTCGTTGGGGCCGCCAACTTACCCGTTCCAGCTCCTTCAGCGAGGCGGGCGAAACGTCCGAGTGTCGCCGCAGTTCGGGACTGCGCGGCGGGGCCAAGGCTGCGCCGTTGCTGGGGGCCAGGGTCTGGGTGCTGCTGCCCAGCTTGGCGTCCGAATGCCGTCGCTGCAGTGCCTCCATGACGGGCACATCCAGCATCGAGTCCGTCGAGTCCTGGGGTATGCAGACGCGCGAGGCCATCTTGCGGCGGCACACGCTGCAGCGCCACATGGTCTAGCAGGAGCAAAGGGAGCCGCATGGCAATTAAATTTCAGTGGCTACGCAATATCAAGTATACGCAACGTTAATTAAAACCGTCGGCTAAGCGGCGGCTCCTCATATTTATTAGTGGCCTGGCAAGCTCAAGAAATGCCATTATGCTTTGGCCAGTTACCTGCTCGCAGTTCCGTTGCTGCTTCTGCTTCTGCTTCTGGCTGTGGCAGCGAAAATAAATATTAATTACTTTCTGAACAAAAGTTGTGGCACGTTGCACGGGCAAATTCTATTTCTATTTCCAGCAGAGCAGCTGAAGAGTGGCAAACGGAAAGGGAAAGGCCAGCACAGGTGTCTCTCAACCTTCAGGCTGCATGCTGCATGCTGCATGCATTGCACTTTCCACTTTCCATCTTCACTTCCGCAGAGAAACGCCCGCACAATGCTCGTTACATTTCCACCTGACTGCCCCCGCCCGGCGGCCACTTCAATCATCATGTGTCGCCGCACCATTTGCAGTCACTGCCGTCACTGCAGTCACTGTTGCGGCAAGTGTCGCTCTTTTAATTAAGTTGCAGGTTCTATGCGTATGTGCCGCACGCGGGACGCGAAACCGAACCCAAACGCAGCTGCAACTAGCGACCAGACCAGGCCAGGCCAGGCTCTGGTTTATTGCTTTTGTTTTCCCCAGGTTGCAAGCACTGTAATTACATAGTGTGTGGGGCAACGTGTGGCAGCGTGTGGCAACGTGTGGCAACGTGTGGCAACGTGTGACAGAGCTGCCCCAGTAGTTGATGATCCCATCAAGAAATCGACTGAAAAGTTACTTCACAGGAAAGGTACGAAGCAACGAGGGGTGTGCCAAATTTAACATTTAATTAATAAATCTTTTCGTATGCGTAATCTCATTATCGATTCCCAGAAGAGAGACAGAGAGAGAGAGAGATTGCGAAAACTAAGCCACACAGAGACAGAGAAATATTTATGGCTGCTCCTTAATGGAGACTGGGAATCGCATTCCTATTTACACACGAAATGAATCTCAGACAGGGAGGAAGAGAGAGACAGAGAGACGGCGCTCCATCTCTATCTGCAATGACCATTATCCATTATCCATTATCATCGGCTATGACTGTGAGTTCATATGGCGGCTTAAATGATTATTTCATACATAGCCCCGCAAGCCAGTCAGCCAGCGCCAACGCCAGCCAGCAAGGCAGCTGCTAAATGTCCAGGGCGTAGCCAGCACCGCAGCAACCAGGCCCATAATTACGCTCTGTTTCCCTGTGTGTGTGTGGCTGTTCGTGGCTGTGTTCATGACGCCCATGAACATCAATTTCAATTAGCCAAAGTGGCCAGGTTGACAGACAAACGTTAAATTTTATGTTCAGGGCGTTGGCTGTTGTTGGCTTTGGCGGTTGGTCGGTCGGTCGACTCCTTGACAAATTGCCACAAGTGAAGACAATGTTGCCACGGCCGACTGGCGGCTGTGTTTGCGGCTCTCCTGGCCTATCAATGATCATTATGCGGCAAGTATTGACAGATGCTCCCACAAGGCGAAGCGTACCAAAAGGTGCAACACAACAAACCCAACTAGCCAGTGGCCAGAGGGGGGAGGTGGAGGTGGAGCTGGATGCGGATGGGCCATTTAATCTCGTTAATACACGGCTTTTATCTTGTTGATGCCCCATGGTGAATGGGCCAGAGCGAGGCTATTGTGCCCGCTGTCCTCTCTAACGCTGGATAATCTAATTTGTGGCTGTAACCCCTTTTGCAATCATTGGATTGTTGTGGCACCCTCCACTCCACTCCACTCCACTCCATACATACATATATACATATTTTCATATTAATTAAGTGCTGCCACTGCCGCTGCATTCTATGTTTATTTTTGCCAGCGTCGCGTCCACTGGGCAGGACATTGCCTAGTGGCCTGGAAGTTGCTGGTCCCTGGGACTGGACTGATGTTGTTGCAACCCATGCCCGCCCATTCGGTGGTACTTACCGCATCCTCGTGCTCGTCCAGCTTGCTGTAGCTGGCACAGTCCTCGCACACCCGCTGCTGGCACTCGAAGCACGTCTTGTGGTAGTCGTCCGGCTTGAAGGACTTGAGGCACACCCTGCAGGCCCCAGCCCTGCGTCCGGGCTCCTGTTTGGCCGCTGCCCCGCCTCCACCACTGCCGCTTGTCGTGCTGTGGTTGTTGTTGTTCTGGTTGCTGCTGCTGCCGGCGTCCTGCTGCTGCTGCTGTTGCTGCTGCTGCTGATAGCTGGGCGAGCCGTAGCTGCCGCTTGTGTCCGCATCCGTTGGCACCAGCGAGGGGCGTGGCGACATTTTATTAACTTTGAAAAGAAACAGAGAAAAGGGAGAAAGTCATGTAATCAATTTACGAGGAAACTAAAGGGCGCCCATAAATGAAAACTTGTTGATTTTCAGATACCGCCCCAACCCCACCACTGACCCCAATGGGGGCCCCCAAACGGGGCGTGGCATTAAAGTCTAGTTCAATTAGCCGACAGTCCATATAATTTATATGCTGCCACAGCAGCGGACAGCAGGCCACAAAATGCGATAAATTAAATTATTATTATCAGCGGAAATTCACTGACAGCCATCGAAATTAACAGGAAAATGCAAATGGAAAATTTCTAAATTGAATTATCCACTATATTCGCCATGTGCAGTGCGCAGGCTACACCATCCGTAGTAAGTGCAATAAAATATCAGCGTTTTTCTCTCCTGTTTCGCAGTAAGTTTCAAACTGAACTTTGAAGCTTTTTAGTGGCAGCTGCAAAGCTGTCAAAAGTGAAGCCTTTCAGTGCCCTAAAACAGCAGAAGGGAGCAGGGCGGGTATATCCACAGAGCAGCTAAATATGCACATGGTACGGGGGGTTATCCAACAGACCTGCCTTAGGGTATCTAAATCTTCGGTACCTCCATAAAGGCAGGCTCCTCTTTGCTGTTGCACTGCACTTATCCTCACATTTATTTGTGTGACTGTGTGTGTGTGTGTGTGTGTGTATATTTCACCCTTGAGAAAATGGTGAAACTGTTTTATGTGGCACTGGGGAAAAAAAAAGTCGCGGTGCATTAGTCACAGTCAGGAGGACAGCAAGGACAAAGGCTCTGCTGCTGGCTTCTGCTCTGTCGGTTGGCTGTGCATTGCTCATACGCACAGTTGCACCTTGTGCTTTCACCTTTCGGCGCTTGACATTTGCAGCCCCGTAAAAGTGGCAAAAGCAAATACGAACGAGCCTGAAACAATAAAGAGTCGCCAAGTGCTGCATGCGACAAGCTGCATGCTGCATGCAGCCTGAGCGGAGAGGAGAGGAGAATCATGTCGCAAATGCAGGCAAAACAAAAAAAAAACATAAACGATTGCACCTCAAGGGAGCACTCAGCAGAGAGCACGGAGGGGCCAGGTTGGGGCCCAGAATAATGGCAACGAGCTGCCACATAAAGTTATTAAGGCATTTGCCAACTTTTTTTCTCTCCCTTTCCCACAGAATTCCTGTGCGAGAATTATGTGTGCCTGAGGCACAGTTTTGGCACTGGCACACGGCAAAAAGTGAGACGAGACTGCCACAAAAACTTGAAGAAAACTCGTTGCTGAGAAATGCCAGTGGCAAGGTGAGGCGGCCAGGCAACAGAATGTGGCTGTACGCTGAAGGTCCTGCTGCTTTTTCTGTGGCTGTTGCATCTCCTGCAACTGCTGCGATTATCCTCAATTATGTGTCCAAGCAGCAAGCAGCAGCAAGTGTCAAAATATTTGCACAAATTATGGGGTGCAAACAAAAAGGAACTGCGACTGCGACTGCGGCCAGCGTGTGGTTCTGTCTCCTCGTTTTACGAGACAACTAAATAAACATCGTGAAATAAGATTTCATTTCTTTCTAATAAATCTGATGGCACCGCCATAAAATCAACAAGCCACAGAGGAAGGAGGACGGAGGCAGCAGCAGCAGCAGCAGCAGCAGCAGCCAACTAAAATGCGATAAAAAATAACACAAAAGTCAACACAACATTTTTCGTGTTGTGATTTGCAGTGTCGTCGTCGTCGTCGTCGTTGACGTCTCCCCATTCCTCCTGCTGTTCTTGCCACAAAACTGAAACTGAAGCTGAAGCTGTAGCTGTAGCTGTGGATCTGTTGCTGCTGCTTCCCACTGGTTTTTATTGACTCTGGATTTGCTGTGGACACGCGGGAGGGCTCGTCGAGCCACATTTACGGTCACCATAACAATGGGAATGGTAGCTGCAGAATGGCGAAAGGGGGAAAACGGGGAACTGGGGAATGTCCGATGACTTGGTAATGGTAATGCCGATGCTGATGCTGATGCATTGCCACTGGTACGTAGACGACCGACACTGACCCTTTGCACAATTCCAATCTGTGATGCAAACGAGCGTAAGCGGCAAAATATGGCGTATACGCACCGTTACCCAGGGAATGCTCATTGTTATGAGCAGCAGTCACTCCACCACCATACGCCCCCTGCATTGCGGGATTGCTTGCATGGCGATTCCAGCCATAAATACGCATGCAATTGGCATGAATGGGGCAAGGATAGCCCGCCCTGCCAGCTTACCTTTGTCTGTTACGGTGAGCAGCGACGAGGAGAGCGTGGCCTTCATCTTGTTCAGGGCGCCCGTATTGGAGGCGCCGCCACCCGAGTCCGTGGCATGCTGTTGCCGCTCGTTGGACGGCTCATCGGTGGCCACCATCTGCAACGAAGGAGAAAATAAAATAAAATGGCAAAAATCATGAATATCTTTTGGGGCCAACATATTGAACTGTTTTGGCTTCTAATTGCTGCATAACGGCAACGGGCGTCGGCACCCCCCCGACCCCCGTATGCGCTGAGTTTTTTCATAGTTTTTCCATCAGGCTAAAAGTTTTACTAATTTCCCTGGAAAAGCTTTAATTCGTAGCAGAATTTTCCACCCTTTGATTGAGTTATTTTGTGCAAAATCATTTGCAGATTATTGCAGAAGGAAAACTAGGAAAGGGAGAGCGAGCATGATGTAATTCCCTTTTCGGATTAGGTCTCAGATCCATGGGGGGGGCGAGCCCTGGAGACACCTTTTGGAGTCCTCTCAGATTTTCCCTACGCTTTTCCGGCCAGTCATGCCGTGGTTCAGTTCGGGCAAGGTGAACCGAAATGCCTTGCGTTTTATTTGATTTTCCGGGAAAACCTGCTCCGGCTGCTTCTTCTCCTGCCGCTGCCGCTGCTGCTGCTGAGGCGCAACAAATTGCCAAGAAATCGTAAAGTGTGGCAAGTAATTTTTGATTAAACAAAGCTGAAGGAAAGCCGAAACAGAAACAGGCTGATGCTGCCCCTGTGGCTGTTGCTGCTGCTGCTGGGGAGGCTTTCCAAAAATTGCCGTCATTCTTTTTAATACAGAAAGGTGTAGGAGAGTGCGAGTGAAAGCGAAAGTGCGAGGGAGTGTGTGTGAGAGAGGAATAACAATTGAAAGGGCCGAAAACATAAGTGCTCTCTCTCTCTCGCCCCTCCGCTACGCACCGCTTTGCTCTGTCAGCGTTTTATGAAGTGGAAATTTTCTATTTGCCAAAGCGCCAACGTAAAACCGGAACAAACAGACCAGCCCAGCCCATCCCAGCCCAGCCAGCCAGGCAGCAAATACACTTGCCTATGAAGGACATCCACACACACACACACACACACACACACACAGATAGTAATACTCGCACACACAGAGATACAAACTGCTGGCGCAAATTACGCTAAGTGCTTTCGGCTGCAGCATTTTCGGTTGCCTACCTTTCAGGCCTCCTACTAACAACAACAACAAAAAAAAGAGTGTGGATGAGGGATGTGGCTGAGTGAGGCGTAGGGGGGTGGGGGGATACTAAGCGCCATCTAGTGTCAGATTATGGCCGCTTTGTGCTACATTTTTGATGATGTCATTTGATGTTTGTGGCTCGGGCTATATTCAAGCTGCGGATTTATGTTTCTAGCCTGCGCAACCTTGTGCCCTGCCAAAGCATTCCATTCCTGCTCCCTCTCTGCCAGCATCCCGCGCTCTTCCCTCTCGCCCAGCATCTGAAATCTTAGTGTGCTCATCGTAATGTACAGTTGTTTGTGTTGGGTGGCTGCCCCCCACCCTTTGCAGGTAAAAGGAGCAGCAGCCACAGCGCACACGGGTTGCCACCTTTCTACGCGTGGCTCTTCACCAACTTAATTTATATGCTCAGATGGCTGTGGCCATTTTTCTTCAGAGCGGCTACACCTCAGCTCGTATTCTTCGCTCAGTTTTCACCTCCCCAACCCCTTTACATCACTCACTCACACACTCACTCACTCTCTGTCGCTGTCGCTGTCGCTGTCTCTATCGCTTCTCCTGCATACACAATTATTACCGTGTTAATTTTGTCATTTATTATGATGATTTTTTGTTTGTTGCTGTTGCTGTGCGTCTGGGGCTTCTCAGGCTCTTATGACCCGAAGCCGCAAATAGTTTCATGTTTAGTGCCGAAAATTATGTGTTGACGTTTAAGTGGTGCCACAGTTGTTGTCACTGCCACTGCCACAGCTACTGTGGCTACATGGCATGCTGGCAGCAACAATAATATGCTGGCGCTGGCAATATGTGCTCCTTTTATGGCCGCAAAGTATGCCACATAAAAGAGGCCAGGCACGGCTGCCAGCTGAAAGAATCTTTTCTTATGAATGAAACTGTTGGCATAGCGAGCAGGAGGCAGCCCCCTGCGGTTGGAAATCAATATGAAATGAGGCACACAACAAGCACCAACTATGCACCACTTAAAAGTTGCCAGCAAAAGTTCAGGTCATGTTTCATGTGGCAGGCACGCGCGCAAGTCATTACATACGGACAGACCGACCGACCGACCGACTGACTGACTGACCTTGCTGCTGCTGCCTGTTGCAGCAACCGCACGTTTTGTTGCCTTCTTCCTTGCACAATAAACTGCAGGCGGCTGCAGGAGATGTTGTGGCAGAGTGCGGCGTAATGCATGTGTGCTGTTTGGTCGGTCAGTGTCTGGCCACAGGCTAGTCCACAGGCGAGACATCAAGCAACCGCAAGGAGGAGCAGGAGGAGGAGAAGGATACATGGCATGGCATGGCATGGCATGGATAGAACTTTACATCAGGAAACACTATTAAGAAAATTGCTGCAAATAAACTGCAGCATCTTCTCTGTCCATCTCCTGTCTCCCCTTGCAGCCACCATGTCATTTGTGGCCCACTTACTGTCCTTTGATGTTCTCTGTAGTTCTGTCGCATTTGTCGCCCTTCCCCCAACCCCGCCCCAGGCATATCTTAGGCATTTAAATGTGCCAGCGAGAGGAGAGCAAAAACTTTGTGCGAAAATCCTTTTCCTAACGGACTTCTTTTGCTAACCAACTGTCAACGGCTTTCAGGCTCATCATCATCATTGTCTTGAGAGTTTTGAGCTGGGTATACCGAGATACCAGACTGAATCTTGGCCAAGACCGCTTTGATTTCGTGCTTCATTTGGTCTAATCAAAACTTTTGCCAAACTCTCTCTCTCGCTCTCTCGCTCTTTCTCTCTTAGCAAACAAAAATCTGCAGCATTTAGTAGCTTGGCATTTTGCTTGTCAGCTGGCATTTTCCTTTCCCGCTTTTCTTTTAATTTTCAACTTGGTTTTTATTAACTTTGCTGAAGAATTTTATGCCCAATGGGAATTTTCTTGGAATTTACACTTTCCTTACCCATTTCCCAGGCCAATCTTCCTTTTTTTTTTTCTTAGTCTCTTTCCTGGTCCCTTTTTTCCCTTTTGTGTGCTATTTTTGGCTTCACACCGCCCACAGAGACGACTCGCTGTATCGTTGTATAATTTCCGCATTTCACAACAGCAACAGCAACAATAACAAAAAAAAAAAAAAAGGGACAACCAGGGCAGGTGCTTTCGCAGGACAATTGAACCGCTTCGATTGCTGCGTATCCGTTTGGTTTTCCTTTCTTTTCTTTTTTTTTTTGTGTATATTTTTATACTTTTTTATTCGTTCTTCATAAACAGTAAAAACCGACAGCCACCGTAGGGGAATGGGCGAAAACTCAGTCAGGCGACCAAAAGCATTTAAAGGGCTTTTTAATTAAAAAGTTTTGTTTGTCCACCCTCCCCCACCCAACAACAGTTTGTTGTTTCTTGCTGAATCCCGTTTCGAAAACAGAGCTTAAACGATCTGTTCAGGTCAGAACAAGAATCCCCAATGTTTTACCTCGTTATAAATGCAATTGAAAAACGTTTTCATTTCGTCTGCTCAATTTCAATTTCATTTGCTTTCGCTTTTGCTACTGCTTTTGCTTTTGTTGCATTTCATTATGGTTGCTCATTAAATTTTCAGTGCATACTGCCGCATACTGTCGCATGTTGTCGCTTGCCGCTTGGCAAGTAATTATAAAATCACAATCACAAATGGCACAAATGAAATGAAATTAAGCATAAATTACGGGGCATCTGTCTGCGACAAGAAGGAGGGACACACAGACAGAATCAGTACCAGAATCTCTCTCTCACTCTCTCTCTCTCTGTCTCTCTCTGTCTCTCGGGTTCTGACTCTGACTCTGTCTCTGATTTATATATTCATTAATTAAAAATCGAAGTGTCACTCCCTGCTCGAGGGACCTGTCGCTCGCCCTTGCCACTTACCTTCTTCATGAATGTCATCACATTGGTTGGCAACATTTTGACAGCGTTTCCTTCGTTTCCAGTTTCCAGTCCTCCGTTGCTTCTGTGTGTTTAAAGTGCAATTAATCACGCATACGCCGTGTGTACGTATGCTGTATGCTGTATGCTCGGCTCGGCTTTGTTTCGGTTCTTTTTGTTTTGTTTTGTTTTGTTTTTTGGTTGCTTTTTGTTCGTTTTTGTTGTTCAATGTTCAGCTCGTAAGCCGCTTTAAGTCATTTCAATTTGAATGGTTCTTCGGTATGGTTTGTTGCTGTTGCTGTTGCTGCTGCTGCTGCTGCACTTATCCTTGTTGCTGTTGTTGCTCCTCGCTTTTGGCCATATTGTGCTGTGTATTCGCTTTGCTCGTTATGCCCTTCAATTCGATGGCCATTTTTCATTGGCCATGTAAATAGTAGGCATTGACATTGGGGGATTGCACACACACATTCAGCCTCATTCAGCCTCCACTCTACATATTCTGGCTCTCTCCTTGGTTTCTGGCTGGCTGGCTGCCTGGCTGGCTGGCTCTCTCGTTCCGATTGATTTATGGCATCCGCTTTTGCCTGGGTTTAAGCCTCACTTATGTGCCGTATTTTTGGGCTTTTAATTAACTTTTGTCCATAATTCACAACTGTTGTTATTATTTGCGTTGCGTTGCGTTTCGCTCTGTTGCTCCTCCTGTGCAGCTGTGCTCCTGTGCCCAGCCATAACATGAAAATACATACACAGAATAAGCAGAAAATTATAATTAGTCATTTGGCCAAAGGCACAGGAAGGGAGAGAGGCTGAAAGTTTCGCTTAAAGTATAGCCGTAATGGGCCGCTCCGGCTTACACCGTACTTAAGTTCGTTTCATAAATTTGCCTACGATAAGCATCGGCAGTTACCCTGCCTACCCTTCCACGCTCATGAGAGCTGCGCTCTGAAAAAGTGTGCTGAAAATTCAAGCGTAGAAACTTTATAAGGCGGAAATAATCGGTGTGTTTGTGCGTCGCCTGTGTGGCATGCAAGAAAGTCATTTCGTGGGGCAGCGCGACAAACACTGACCTGCCTTTCGCCCTCTGCCATGTGGCTTAACGAAAGGAGCAGCCAGCAGCCCTCAAAAACTGATTTTCAATCAACGTTTTATTATGCCCAGATTTGTTGTTGCTCCCCTCTGACACTATATCCCATAGATCATGCATCCTGCCATTGAAATCATCGATTTGCAGGGGATATCTACAGTTTTTGCAACTCCCCCACCGCCAGTCAGCGGCGCCTCCTCCTGCCCAAAGCCAAAGCTGGAACAAAGCACTGAGCTGCTGATGTGTTGGTCGTCGTTGAGTCCTTAAGCTTCTCCTCATTCCCCCACCCACGAATCAGAAAGCTTTGCAGAGCTTATCGGGCATTCACTGCAGTTCATTGGGGGAGCATTAGAAGAGGGTGGGGAGGAATGGCAGCTCATTGCGGTAGAGAATGGAGAATGGCTAAAGCGAAAGGACTGCTCTCTACCCTCTCCTCGGAGGGGAGGAGTCATGTGACTTTGGATTTTCCGCCTGCAAATGGAATTATTAAATCAAATGACCCACAAACTCAATTCAATTGTCGAGCATTTCGTTTCGCTCGATTGCAGCTGGCTGGCGGGCAGCTCCACTTCCCCATGCGATGGCTAACAACATTTGCAATTCCCATTGCTGTTGGCAGTTTGTTTGGTCATATAGAAATTAAGGACTTTGCGGAGGGATTCATTCAAGTTTCAAGTTAAAAACTTTGCTCAAGTCCGTTGCTCCGAGAGACAGAAAGAAAGGGTCTGCGAGGGGTCTGCGAAGGGTCTGCGAAGGGTCTCGTCTCGTTTCTCCTTGTCCCTATCTCTCATTGAAACATTGAAAAAGTTCATAAGAACTCATTGAAGCGCACTTCCGAGTTGCCCGACGAGAGTGTTGCACCCCGGCCCCAGTATTGGAAGGATACTCGCACACATCCGCCTCGCATCGAGGGGCATGACATGGGCAAATGTGTTTACGCCAAATGAAATTTCTGACTTGCTAAATGAGCGCAGCACAGGGCGCCGCGTCGAGCAGCGAAAAACTTTTAAATTGTATTTTCGGTGGGCGGGGCGAAAATGAAAATTAGTTGCCGCTTCAAACTGTCAAAATGCCAGGCAGCAGCGGCAGCAGCGGCAGCAGCAGCAACGTTGCATTCCATGCAGCCAAATCACGGAGCAACGCGATGATTTTTGGTGGAAAATGTACGACCAAAAGCGGCAGAGAGTGCTACAAGTGCTTGTCCGCGGCAATTGGGGGTTGGCCAGGACCACGAGGACAGGCTCTGGCACAAGGATGTGCTCATAAATTGTTACTTTTCCATGGCTGCTGTTGGTGTTGGCAACGAGCACGAAATTACATGCACACACACACACACAAACGCAGAGTGGCGGAGAGAGAAATGTGGATGGAGGCTGCTCAGAGCAGGAGGCTGTTCACAGGAGACAGAAGGAGGCTGCTGACAGAAGGAGGCTGTTCAGAGCAGTAGGCTGCTCAGTGCAAGAGGCTGTTTTGGCTGGCAAAGTTCCAGGCTTCGGCCAAAAACTTGTAGCCTGCCTGTAGTTGGCACACAGTTAATTAGCGCGAAATTGGGGAATTGTGGGAATGAGCCTGAAGCCACACTGTAGCCAAAGCCAAAGACCAGAGAACAGCAAGACCGTGCCCTGGGCGGGGTATCGCTGGCCTATCGCCAACGTCTTTGCCTCTAGCATGCTAATGAAACTGAGCACTGAAAACTGATCACATTGCCATTAGCGTTAAAGGTCAACATGCGTGTGTGTGTGTGTGTGTGTGTGTGTGTGGGGTATATACATGCATTAAGTCCTAAGTAAAGTCCAGCAAGATTTATCACACGCACCAACACAGGACATGGAAATTGTCACGCACCAGCAGGCAGTAGGACAGGCAACAGGCAAACCCACACCGTAAATAAACTGAAATCGAAATGGAAATGTTTGAAAATAAAATAGGAACAGGCGCAAGCAAACCACCCACCCCATGTGTGCCCGTGCCCGTGCCCACCCACATCTTTCTTTTGTTCTCTTTGTCCGGCCAATTTATTGGCTCATGTCACGGAGCGGACCGGAGTGTCAAAGTGAATTGTTGTGCCGGAACGTATGTACATATGCATGTACGTGTGCGTGTGCGTGTGGGGGACACAAATTAAGTGCACGACAGTGCGAAAATAAATGACACCAAATACACAAAAAGACTGCAAAAGCAATTCTTCACACAAATGAAGCGCATCAGCAAAGGGAGGGGGTGAAAAAAGGCTAGAAACAGCAGCAGCAGCAGCAAAAGCAGCTCCAATTGCAGTTGAGAAATCGCAGCGCAGTTCTTAAATAAAACCGGACAGCAGGGGGCCCGTGTCCGTGTCCGTGTCCATGCAACAGGAGCAATGCTGATGCTGTTGCTGTTGCTGATGCTGATGCTGGGACCGACCTCATGAATGGGGGGCATGAATGAAGCGTTGTCAACAAAGCCAAACGATGGGGGAGACAGACAAACTCGTGGGAGTGCCCCAGACCCTTAACCCTCTCCGCCATCGCTGCTGTCTCTGCTGTCTCTCCTGTTGGTTGTCTGCCTTGTTGCTGTTGATTGTTGCCTTGTTAACACCCTCCATGCTGCTGCTGCTGCTGCTGCTCTTCCTGCTGCTGCATCTGTTGCTTCTGTGTGTGTGTGTGTGTGTGTGACTTTATCTGTAGAACAAGCCACAAATGAATGCCACTTACTCCACTTGCAGTGCCTGCTGAGATGACATGCAACAAAGGTTGGTATGCCACTTGAGAATTTGCAGCAGATTATCGATCAGGCAAAGGAAATGAATTTGCATAAGCGCAAAAGAGGGAATTTAGGGCACTGGCTAAAACCTGCACAGTTAACTCTCTGCCACTCGTCATTGTGGGGCCCCTGCAAACAGGACTTTTAATGAACCTGCGGACCGAGCACAGTTTTTGTTTGCTTTGCTAGCCCTGGAATTCGAGTGGAGTGGATTGTCGACGCTCGTTTCTAACTAATTGACAGCGACGGGGGCCCTACATGATCTCTGTCTGTCTCCCTCTCTGACTCTGTCTCCCGCTCTGCGTCTACGTCCTTTCTGCCACTCTGCTGCCTGCTGCCTGGCTTCGTGGCAAGGTTTAATTGCTGAAAATAAACAAAAGTGGGCGGAAATGTCACGGCATGGCATCCTGGTTCTTGTTGTGGGCTGACCGAACAGATTGCTGTCTGATTCTGATTCTCATTCTTATTCCGACTCGTAGAACAGATGCTGCCGACACTCCCATTCCCATTCCCACTCCCACTCCGACTCCGACTCTTCGAATCCCATTGCCATTTCCATTTACAATTTCCCATTCGGCAAAACAATTCCCATTCCCATGCAGGGCACGTACGCAACCAAATAAAATAAAACTACGCCCATCCTCTTCACCGTTCACCGTTCACCGCTCACCGAAAAACCTCTGGGCTGGGCTGGGCTGGGCTTCTTTCTCTTGTCGACTTAGAACTGTAATACAAACAAAGGCGGCTGGCAATCGTTTAAACTGCTGCCAAACTCAATTATTCAAATGGGCGGCGCGTCGCGCCTCGCCGCGGCACACACATACACGTACACGTGTGCTCCACAAGCCAAGTGCCTGCCACTCGCTTTGCGGTTTGCAATTTGACATTTAATCAAAGCGAAAGCCCCACCAAAAAGCCACTCAGTGTTGCATGCCTCGATATCTATTCTAGTGCCGCTTTTTGTGGTCTGTCTCTCTCTCACTCTCACTCTCACTGGCTCACTGTCTCCTGTTTGACACGTTATCCATGACTCCTGTTGTCGACTATTGTTGCCTGTTGCCTGACTTTCATCTTAATTGAAATCAAATCAAAGTGTTTTCACTCAACAAATGGAATTGTCTGCTGCTGCCTGACTGCCTGCCTCCCTGCCTGGCTCTTGGCCATTGTTGACTTTTTTGGGATCTACTACTGGCAACAGTTGCCAAACAGAACGGATGAACCAACATATATTCCAGTTTGCTGTTGCTGTTGCTGTTGCAACAACTAATGACTGTCCATTGTTTTCGGTCTCTCGATTTTACAC